GATACGGCTGAACTTCAGGATCAGATCATTGGCCAGTAATCGAGACAAAATCAACAACAGAAGATCGTAATTGAGAGTAGCGAATAAGTACTGGTACTGAAAAGGAAAATTGAATCTTTTGTCCATTAAATCCGAAGTCAGTTGGACTGGCATTCTGTACTTGTGAACTGTAAAAATAACGGTTTCATGCTCAGACTAGCCTTTTTTACATTCAGTTTTCATCTCTGTCCAGGCATCGGTTGATTATCGCCCCATATTGCTGTTCCATTTGTAAGCACGTATACTTCGCGCAGGTAATTATTGAAATTGATCACGAGTTTGTTCTCGGTCTCCTGCTGATGCTGGAATCTGGTGGACCAGTTTGTTGTCCAACATGGCGTAAAATTTTTCTAAGTGACTACTGATTCATTTGGCAAAAAAGTTTTCCTCTGCACTTCGATGCAACCAGCCAAAAAGTGAAAAGCCATGTTGATTGAGGATACAGCTTGAAAATTTAGGGTGGTGGTTATTCTAGAGCATGCGATACCTACGGTCATGCTGTCTGCGATCTACTTAATAGCTTATATTAAACTTCGCTTTTATCTGCCTAACTGCTTATATTAAACCAGCAAGTAAATTGAAGGTTGAAATTTAAGTTCATGTGCATTAATTTTACCTAAATTTCACATACCCATACACTTCTTCTGAACGATACGTTATAATATTGCAAGTTTTGCTAATTTTCATAAACAAAATTCGAAAGTCCTTTATGCGTTATACAGCGTATCTGATTTATTATGTGCAAGTGGTCCAAAATTTTGGATCATTAGATACTTGTTCAGACAGACACATAATATACAGAGGATGATGTTATTGTTATTGAAGGCGGATTCAGCGTGCTTCGAAACGTTCCAAAAAATATATGTAATAATCTGGATATGCGATATCATCCCATAATGGAGTTTCCAGATTTTGAACTGACTTTCCGTATATTCCACACTTTCCACAGACAGGTATAAATCAGATGGTGGGCTTGTGTTGCGAATACCTCCAGAAAGGAAGGCTGAGCAACTGTTTCTTGCGAATCCGACCGGCAGAAGTCCCAGCGGACGGCCAAGATTAATCTGGTGCAAATATATGGAAGGAGTCTGTTCCAGACTCCAGTTCTCTTCTGCCGAAGCTTAGACTGTGGCACAGGATTGGGAACGTTTGTACTCTCTGACGCGTCTTCCTCCGCGACCTGGAAGGAGAAGCGGCCATGGAATATAAAGATGAAGACGAAGCAAGACGATGCAATTGTCACACTCATCTTGGCGTATACACTCATTGATTGGCATAGATATAACATTGTTTTGTCAATTGGCATTGATTCGTCATGATATTCTGAAGATCTTGCACTATCTTGTTTTTCAGAAACTTTATTAACATCTTAACACGCGCATACACGTTTACAAGTTGGGGGGACGGGGACGTCGGCTGAAAGACAAGGAGAATTGATTGTGCTCGCAGCATGTCGTATTTTCATCGTCTAGCGACATTCATCAGCATCTTAATTATACCACGTACGACCAGCCGATGGATGAGAAATCGACTTAGTCCTCTCTCAGATTCAATTATTGCTGCCTCGCACCTCAACGAGACTCGCTATGCCCGAAGCCGCGCAAATCGGAAAAATTAGCAGCTACAGATGGCAGCTTTTGGTGGCAAACTGTTTCAGTCAAAATTCAATCATGCTAGCTAAACAAGTTTTTTATGTACACGAAGGAGCATGGTTTCTAACGGAACGACAGATTTAACTCAATTTCTGTTAATTATGATCACATGAAAAAGAAATTTTCTTATTGTTTAGGCGCTAAATCAAATAATAGTACTGTGGTGATTAAAACTTTCGGCTGGTGGCCGCCCTCACCCCGCTTTGCTTCGATACATGTATCAAGTGAGCTTTTCTCCTCAGTTTTGTAACTCACATTATTCAGGTTTCATGACGCATTTTTCGACTTCTATACAAGTTAATTAGCACAACTTCGGATTCGGTGAAGAGCAAGATCATGTTTGTCACCAGCTTTTTAAAGACTTGCCTTGCTTAGTTAAGTCCAAGCTGCATAACCTTTCTTTAGGTTCATTTGCGACGCTGTTCCTCTTTTACTTACTTCTGAACTATATTGTTTTTCACTCGTCTGAAAAAACTTTCTCATCTGTCTTGTGTGGTTCTTGACGAAGTCTCAAATTGTTTAATCAACTGAGAAACAATCTTATAAAAGTTTGTCTTATGTCTACTTTCGCCCAAGTCGTTTAAGAGCTGGAATGATGAATTTCTATTTACTGCTATCTTAGTGTTCCAAACATTTTAATTTCGAGATCGTCATTGGCATAATCGTGCACTGTAAAACTTAGAGCGGTCATGTACTTTAAACTAATGTTTCGCGTCCTTCAGATAGCCTTGTAAATGGCAGGTAAGGAACTGGAAGGCTAGTTGCCTGCCGCCCACAGATTCGACTTCTGAATGGAGTGTTTAAGAGATGATGCAGAAACGACCAGAGAAGTAGAGTACTACAGGCTTATCATCTTCGATTTAATCTTCAGAACGGGTACCGTAATCGTATAGGAAGCTGATCAGTCACCGGAAAATGTTCAGTTAGATAGAAGGAGGGAAAGAAAGTAGATAATATCGGTCTTGCTTAAAGTTTCATTATGAAGCCATTCCGGCATCTTTTTTTTCATGAAGTTAACGGTCAGAGCGCTGATCTTCATTTTTATGCCTTCTTCCTAAATTACCTTTTTTTATTGTACTAACCATGTTTAGAAATAACGAAGGATTGACAGAACTCTAGAGACTTAGAAGGCCATGTTCTCTACGGAAATGTACTAAATGATGCATGCGCGACAAAGATTAGCCCTCTCGAATTCCCCATACTCCATTCAGTATTTTAAACAAAGTGTAGCTCAGACAGTTGGAGAAGATTATGTGTCTCTAATGGTATTCATGAGGGACTGCAGGCAGAATTTGGCGGAAAGACACAAGTCGGTCAAGCGATCGGTCGCGAACTAAATGGGGCTGTGATGATGGTTAATGAGCTGAAGAGCGATGTGAAATTTTATGTCTTCAAGTTTTTCAACGCCTATACTCGTTTATATTTAATGTCAGTGCTCTCTACGGTTTACTGCTGTTAAAGGCTGTTAATATCAGCGGTAACCCTCGTTCTGCTCCAGAAGGTTTTACACCGTAAAGTCTTAATACTTTACTCATGAATCATCCCACAGTATCAAGTACCTATTTGCATATCGTGAGTGCTGGATATTGACCGAAAGAATGCGGTTTAGCATAGAAGCGGCAGAAATGAGGTTCTCCCTACAGATTGTTCGAGCTATGCGACCGGGAAGAATTCAGAACACGAGAAGGCCTTGCTTCTTCTTTCATCGAGCGATCACAAAGGCGATGGTTCTGACTCGTCGCCAGGTTGCCAACGGAAAGATTCATCTCTAGCCGGACTTTTCAGAAAGCTGCGTGTTGTACCGCCTTGAAATCACCTAACATCAGGTGGCTGTGCTGTAGTAAACATTCGACACTATCACGCTTTTGAATTCTCTATTGAACTAGCTCGATCGGTGGGTGACTGGAACCACTTGAAAAACGTCCTGATCCAGTTGTTCTCAAAACCTGAAAGCATTGACGAATGTGCAAATGAATGAAAGTGGTACCATGACCCTATTAGGAAAAGGAAACTTTGTGGCCGTTGCAATGTCAGTATGCGTTACGCTTTAATGATGTGGCCGTTTCTGGCTCTCTTTCGTTCATACAGTTAATAATGGGGTGCTGATTTCCATTTCCGTGCCATCAGCCAGGAGTACCTTATTTTTTTAAAGTACAGTCTGCAGCGTCAATTTGACAAGCATAGCGTCTAGTTTACTGTTTCCTTCAAACAGGGTAGTGTTCATTTATCAGCCATTGCCTGTGACCCGACCGGAGTTCGAAACTGAAACCTCTACCGTTCTGAGCAGCCCCGGTCAATGTACGTGGTGGCCTGCCGTGTAATATTTACACTGTTAGAAGCGGAGGCTTTTCAGACAGTTATTGATAGGAATTGTTCCGTAGTTTTCACTGAACAGTAGATGTACCTTGCGGTCAAAGTGAAAACTCTGGGCATGGATATTGAATTCTCCCGTAGGCAGTATTGTTTAATGATTGCAAATTCAATGGAACTCCTAGTATTAACAGTAATTGATGAAATTTTCACCAAATACCAAAGAACACCAAAAATTATTATCTTTGGTTCAGCAAATAGACGGGATGGCCAAATGATTTCATGTTGCCTTTATGTGCTTCGTTCTTTCGTCAGGACTGGTAGTCAAACTGTTATTCTATAACATGCCGTTTATCACTGATTGCAATTTGATCGTTAGTTGACAGTTTCCTTGTTCCTAACTGATAGAGATTCACGATTATTGTAGCGACTTGATGCAGTATACTGTCTCGTACTTTGTGTCGATATCCTTCATTTCGATCGGATTTATACACGTAAGCTGGCTTCCTGAACAGAATATTTGTTTAGAGCAATTACCTCTCGTAATGTGTATTAACAGGTAGAATCAGAGGCAGCATAGCAGTGGTTTATGGAATATAGGGAACACTTACACTGTTCGGAGCGTAAATAGTGGTTTTCATTTTAGGCTCATAACTTGCTAAGGCTGTTATTCAAAAAAAGTCATCGACCGGCAAGAAATTTCTACTATCCCAGCACCTTACAAGCTCAGTATGCGGAAACAAAAGACTCGAAAAACATGATGTGTCTGTGCACCAAAGAAAACCCGAAAATCGTGGTCATAATTGGCGCTACGGGTACCGGCAAGTCCAAACTGGCAATTGATCTGTGTCGTCGTTTCGATGGAGAGGTCGTCAGTGCCGATTCGATGCAGGTCTACGAAGGTCTGGACATTGTAACCTGCAAGGTCAGCCGCTCTGATATGGCGGGCGTTCCTCATCACCTGATGAGTTTCCTACCACCACAGACCGTTGGCTATACGGTTGTTGATTTTAGAAATAACGCTTTAAAAGCGATCGATGCCATTCTCTCTAGAAGCAAGATACCGATGATTGTCGGCGGTACATTCTATTACGTCGAGTCGCTGATTTGGTCGAATCTCATCAGCGCGGACAAAGCGGTGTTGCTGGAAGACGACGACTATCACTCTTCACCGTTTTACGATGATCTGCCTGACGGTCTGCTTTCGATGACCGATGAACAGTTGCACGCTGAATTGAGGGCTGTTGATCCGGAGAGAGCATTGCATCTGCATCCCAATAACCGGAGACGGGTGGTGCGTAGCTTGCAGGTATGGTACTCGACGCACAAAACTCATACTCAGTTGCTGAAGGAGCAGCACCAAACGATTGGTGCTAATGGCTTCGGTGGGGCGCCTCGTTTCAACCAAGTGTGCATCATATGGCTGCAATGCGAAAAGAGCATCTTGGACATAAGACTGAGGCAGCGGATCAGTTCGATGGTCGAACAGGGTCTCAAGAACGAACTGACCTGTTTTGTCGATGAGCATTATCCGTCGTTCCGAGAAAAGCCGAAACGACTGCCGAAAGACTGTGATCGCGACAGCGACGAAAGCAAGGGCGTTTTTCAGTGCATAGGTTTGAAACAGTTTAGCGATTTTCTCAGCCTTCCCGTTGACCAGCGCAACTCCGCGTCAGGAGACGCCGCGTTTCGCAAAGGCCTAGAGTTGCTTCTCGTCGCTACACGCCAGTACGCCAAAAGGCAGCTGAAATGGATCAAGAACCGGTTCGTGAAGAGACCCCTTGACGATGGATTCAAGTTGTTCGCTCTAGACGTTACTCTGGATGACAACTACGAAGCCGCCGTGCTGGGCCCCGCCACAGAGATTGTGCGCAGTTTCTTGAACGGACACCCGTCGACGATTCAACCTTTGCGCTCCAAGTCGGACTCCGACGTGTACTCATATGACGAAGACGCCAACCGCCATAGACTCTGTGAGGTGTGCGACAGACTGATCGCCAATAGCCAGTGGCAAAGTCACATTTTGTCTCGGTCTCATCGCAAACGGACCGGTAAACGTTGCAAACAGTCAACGAAATGCGTTGCGGGCGACCACGAAGAGACTGATGTACACTTGAGAAGTTGTAAGTCATCGTCGTCTACGTGACAACTTGATGTTCATCTTCCATGTGATATATTCATCGTTCATAACCATGTCAGTGCATGAACATTAAAATTGCTGCTTAAGACTTTTCCATACTGGGTTTTAGATATTGCTTTATTGACTGGCACGAACACTGAGTATTTGTGTCTTGCGTTGGTGTTAAGAAACAGAAAGTAGCAGTAAACATCGGTTGTTTATATACAACACAATTGATTTGGTCAATCTGAGGAGTGACCAGCATCGTCGTTTTGGCCCGTGCCTTCAAGAAAAAAAGTACGATTGGTTTTGGAAATCCTTTTTTGTGGTTCGCAGCCAGGTGTCCAACTGTAGTTCCGTGGTGCCGGCTAAGTAGTTTTCTGACGACAGGGACGATAAGACTTATCCAATTCACGTGGAGTGCTTGTCCTCTGACGCAGTTGATTTTGTCGCAGAGCTGGACAATGAGTGCCTCCTTGACGCCCCTGTTTAATCAGGGTCTTTCTTTCATGATTAGGGGGCGTGTCTTCGCGCGGCATAATCCCGAAGGTTCTCGTATTATTT